TTTTTTTCAATTTGATGGTTGGAGTTTGGACTGATAAAAATAATTTATTTTTGTGGTTATTAACCGAATCAAACCGACTTATGTGGTTATGGTGCAGTTATGGTATGGTCAAAAATTTGGTGGTGCAGTTATGATTGTGGCCGAACTCAACAGTTGACATCTCTAGGTTCAATTCAAAAGCAAAACAGTACAAAATCAAATAAAGTACATAATATAATTTAATATGAGTTAATTAAATAAAATATAAACATTGTAATTGAATTAATGGGCATGTGATTCATTCGGGACGTCAAAGTACATTCCACTGAAAAAATAATGTTAGTCACGAGAATGATAATTATATTATTTACAAAATAAATATCATATTAATGACAATAATCCAGATAGATATCATAATTACGAGAAATAAGTATGCGGCATTACATTTCCTATGCAAAATTTACAAAAATAAAATAAAATAAAATAAAAGAAAGAATAAATAGACCACCTTGAAGATCTTCATTTTTATTATTTTAATCTTGTGATTTATTTATTTATTTTAATTTGTTATCACTAACTTCATGTATATTTATCCACAAAATGTTTTGAATTTTGTTGTTTAATTATGCAATGACATAAGTTTGAAAATTTCCACACTCTAATTAAGTTCTAATAAATCTTGTCTAAGTTAGTCTTTGGCGAAATGTGTATTTGAAACCCTGAAAAATATTGATAAAATGTGTATTATGACCATGAAATTAGTATTTGAGTAGTAAATAAGTTATATGGTTAGAATTAAGGAAACAAATTAATCCCTTATCCTTTTTTTTTTAAACATTATTACGATAAACAAGAGAGAATAAATGTACGTTTTTATTTAAATAAGACATAATAAAACAACTTTTGCAATATATTATCTTAATTATAATTTGATTTGCGGAGGGATAATGAAGTGATAAATTTATGCTGGTGTGTTAAATGATAAAATAGAATACACATTTAAACTAATAAAATTTAAATAATTGTTATAGATTATATAGAATATGAAAAAAAATAATAATAATAATAAAACTAGAGAAGATGAGATATATAGGAAATATTATCGTTTACTCAAATAAATACGTAGTTTAAACACGTTGATTTGTGAGATTGTGATGGTTTATTGTTCAACGCTAATAGTTTTAGGTTTCTTTATGAGTCTTTTTTTTCTTTTTTGTTGTCAGATTCGACTGGTCGGGCCAGACCGGTTTTTATAACTATGTTTGTAGAGCTTTTATTCTCACAATGGCCTTGCTGGCTCTAGCCTTCACGGGCTTTCGTCGCTAGATTGTGAGAGAACCCTACTACAGAAACAGGGTGAATGACAAATTATTTATAGATAAACACTTGTCAAAAATTTACTGACAGTTAAAAAAAAAGGGTTGTGCTATGGGTACATACATAGCACATAGGGAGAAGATAGTGAATTTGCAGTATCGAATGTTCGATACAAATCTAAACTCTCAACATATTTGAGTAAGTCTTCTTGTGATCGGTTATAGTTTTTATTTTGTAAATATTCTGCAATATTGTTCATTTATTTGTAAAGTAGATTACCATCGAATATGAATTCCAATGCAATTCACAGATTGCAAAGCGGAGTTGTAGATAAAAAAATTATGCTCGTTGAAGTCATTGCACACAAATCTTGTGGCCACACAAACTGAATGGAGAAAAATTTGTGGACACGACCAAGGTTCATCACACAAACCTTTAACCAATGCTGCCGCACGGGTCACTCGAGCAACAGTCTCGATTGTGATTTTCTTGATATATTAGGGTATCTTACACTTAGTTTTCTCGAACTCTTTGAAAATGACAAAAATACAAGTAATTAAATAGGGGATAATATAACTTCCAAAGACAAAAATCCGAAGACTATTTTTAATTTGGATGATAATATTGTTTTTGTCTAGTGTGAGAATGGCTAAGGTTGTCCGAATAAAAATAGACTAAATGATACAATAATCACCCCACCACAAATAGAACAAGATATAAACAAACAGGAATTCCAACTCTTGAGAATGACACCAAATTTCAGAGTCTTTTCTATCCTTTACAATAAGATATCATCATCACCTACCCACCTAATCAACAATAATCTAAATATTAAATTATAATCCAAACCTAACTAATTAATCATCCAACTTTCGTCTTTTTTTCCCCCAACTTTCCAACACAAACATCAATAACATTATTCCCATCAAGAAACACTAACCATGCTATCTCCACTACTGCTAGTAAAGCTAGCTTGCATTGTCTGGAAACCCGACATGTGTCTCGTCGGAGATGGATAATTTTCGGGTGGCGGTCGTGGAAGTGGTGGTGGCGGAGGTGGCGATATGGATAGCTTAAGTGTTAAAGATCTGCTCGTTTCTTCCTTCTCTACTTCTGTCTTCGTGATAGGATTAAATCCCCTGGTTGAGATCAGTGTTCTTTGTGTTGTAATCTCTGTGATTGAGGGGGAGTTTCGACTGGTAGATTGATGTGTTCGATCGAGTCCATTGTAGTGGCTGCTTAGGGTTATTGTCTTGGGGTTTGGGGCTGTTGTGGTCGTTTCTATATTGTACAGACGGGTACAATGTTCTATTTCTGAGCCTAATGAAAAGGAGATGATTCGTTGTGTATATTGTTCGATATTCTTGGAGATTTCTTGACTGCTTCCGTTTTATTTCATAGGCTTATGCTTTACAAGTGATTTTCTTGATATATTAGGGTATCCTACACTTAGTTTTCTCGAACTCTTTGAAAATGACAAAAATACAAGTAATTAAATAGGGGATAATATAACTTCCAAAGACAAAAATCCGAAGACTATTTTTAATTTGGATGATAATATTGTTTGTCCGAATAAAAATAGACTAAATGATGCAACAATCACCCCACCACAAATGGAACAAGATATAAACAAACAGGAATTCCAACTCTTGAAAATGACACCAAATTTCACAATCTTTTTACAATAAGATATCATCATCACCTACCCACCAAATCAACAATAATCTAAATATTAAATTAAAATCCAAACCTAACTAATTAATCATCCAACTTAGTCCTTTTTTTTCCCCCCAACTTTCCAACACAGACATCAAAAACATTATTCCCATCAAGAAACACTAACCATCAATAACATTATTCCCATCAAGAAACACTAACCATGCTATCTCCACTACTGCTAGTAAAGCTAGCTTGCATTGTCTGGAAACCCGACAAGTGTCTCGCCGGAGATGGATAATTGTTGGGTGGCGGTCGTGGAAGTGGTGGTGGCGGAGGTGGTGATATGGATAGCTTAAGTGTTAAAGGGAGAGGCTCAGGTGTAGGGATCGTGGTGGTCTTGTTTAGATCTAAATTAGCCATTTTTGAAGATGGGGCAGGTGGAAGATTTGGAATTGAACGGATGAGATTGGTTGAATGTTTCATTACTAGTGTGAGATTCTCCGTTGAATTTTCTCTCGTCATTGGTACAAGAAAAGCTGGCATGGGGAATTTATCATTATTTTTGCTTAGATTTTGTTGTGCTATTGTTGTTGGGTGGTATGAATTTTCTTGATGCCTTTGTTCTTCAATTTTCGAACCCAAAACCTGTTCAAATGCAATAGAACAACCTTAACAAGGAAGAAACATAAAACCCATAAATTATTACCAACAATTAACTTTCAATTCAGATGGTGCAAAATGCACATTTTTTTGAAGAGAATGTATTTTTTTGCGTGTGATGTGTTTGTGAATATGTGGTTGAAAAAGAAGGAAAAGTTATTGATGTAATGAAAAATATTATTTTATTAAAATATGTATGTTTGAAAATGAATAGAAAAATGAGAACGTGGCTCAAACAGAGCTCAGATTCAAGAAGTTTTAGCTCTATTCAAGGAAACGCTACTTTCAAGTTTTATCTCGTGTTTAAATATAAATACTTGATTGTGTTTAAAAGTTATTTTTAAAGAAAGTAATTTTTTTAATATAAAAAAAGTAACTTAAAAATTGTTTGTAAAAATTAACACACATGAAATGAATTCACGAATAAAATTACCGTATCAGTGGTAATATCAAAGAGACTAGATCTCCGGCGCCGGCGGCTATGGTTATTCCGGCGGAGAAAGTACTTTTGAGCATGGCTTGCAACCTGTGTGGGCGTACGTGTCTTCACAAAGTTTCTTGAAATCCCTCTCCAATCTCCTTTCCCTACTTTCTGCAACCCTATCAGAAATAACCTGTGTTCCTCCTCAGTCCATGGTACTCCTGTTCATTTTTTTCACAATGTAAATAAGTAAATTAACCCCATCTCTTTAAATTTTTAGACAAGAAAGTTTTACAGGGTGTCATCCATTTTAGAAAATTGTGTAAAAGTGTGCTTCTGCACATATGAATACTGTTTAAGGTAAAAATTCTCTTTCACTTAAGAAAAAAATAGTCCTTCAATTTTTAATATAGAACTCTAGACTCAATTTGAGATTAGGCTCATACAAGTAATTAAATCCGTCAATAACTCTTAGGAGTAGTTGAATTTTGAGGTTGACTGTCTATGTCAAACCACCAACTCGTTGACCTCTTAAAGATGAAACCGATACTAGATACTTACCTCTTTTCCGATCATGACTCCGGCCAGAAGGGTGGACAATATCGTCAGAAGCATAGCCGGCGGCCACATCATTGTTGGACTCCTGGGGTTGCTCATACTGAGCCAGGTTATTCATACTAGCACTCTTCCTAAACGATCCTTCCATGACTCTTACACCAAACAGCATGAACCCTTTGCTGCCGCTGCCGTCGCTGACGTCCTTCAAGTTCTGATCATTTTTTCCACCGGACGGCGATGCCGACGCCGTCACCTCCATTAAAAAGTATATTAACGAATGCTAGAGCTTTTGCAAATTAATGGGGTTTTGGCACATGCAAGGTTTAGACGAGGAAATGACACAGAGAAATGCAAATTCTTTAAGAAATGAACACGTACGTTTAATTATAATTGGCTTGTGTTGACGTACTGTGTAGGGTTTTGTGCAGTGCGCAATAAATTTTGTATGATATTGATTGGCTAAGGAAATATTCACATGCCTCTGAGGAGCACCGCCTGTTGATTTCCCATCTCTTTATGTTAAGAATCAATGCCATCCACAGTCATATTGTCCTCTTTTTTATTTTACAATTTTTCCAATGAAGTGTTTTGAGGAAAAAAAAAATATTACAATTTTGTCAATGTTATGGATAAAAATTTAACTATGAAAAGATATATTATCAAATAAGAGATAAGCAGATAAAAAGATTGTATTTATCAATATTAGAAGTTAAATTTAAGAGTAATGCTATTTAGTCTCACCGAAGTTATAATCTCAACGGCATAAATGATAAGTGGAATCCCCTCTCAGCTGGGTTAGGCGAGGTCCTATCGAATTAATGGGCTATGGGTTGGTTGTTGGTCGAATTAAGTGGATAGTTTAATTTCACATTTCATTTAGTCTATCACCTAACACTACATAGACTTGGGTTATAATTCCAAATTGAGATATATTGTCCAATTTTGCTATCCAAATGTTTGTCCGTACAATGAATTATTGACACGCCATCAATAATTTGTATATCATCTCAAATCTCCCTCATTAATTTCACCGTTAACCAATCAAATTGATGACATGTCAATAATTCATTGGATAGACAGCCATTTGGACAGCAAAATTGAACAGCTTATCTTATCTCTATTATAACCCTAGTGTGACTAAATCACATTATCCTAAATTTAATCCAAGCAAGACTTTACCAACCCCAATTCCAATAAAGACTTTATAAGTCTAAACAATACTTTATTGAATGGGACATATGACTAATATGCATGTATAACATTTTACTAGCACTTTAGATGATACATCACAATTGCTTTCTATGAAAATAATCTCGAATATAAATACGAACACTTTCTATGAAAGTTCAAATAATCTATTCACGAGTTATATATAGTAGTCGAACCTAATAAGATGATTATTACAATTAGTAAGTAATAAGCCATAGATTTAGAATAAAAGAGTATGATGTGTTTGCATATATTATACCAACAAATGTATTGCAATCATAAGATTATTTCTCCATTGATTTGAGAAGTGGCCTAATATTTCTAACAATTAAATAATAATTTCAAATACTGTTAGTGGGAATAAAAATAAAGAATTGGATTTTTCTAAAAATATGAAATGGACATGTGCATGAATCATATTATTTGGGCATACAAAAAAGGGTGGTGGAGGAAAAGGGTTGCTATCCACCGTCAAAATGGCATATTCTCCATTTTCCGAACTGCCTTATCTCTATTAATTTGTCCTCACTTCTTTAATCACCTTTGGTGGTGGGTTGGATTTGTGAGGATGAGGGGTACTCCGACCCCACCCCACTCCACCCCACCCCACCCCACCTCACCTTTACTTTGTTTTTAGTCTACCTTTTTGAGTTAGTACACTATTTATTTTTCTCCCACAAATTATGTACATTTATGTAAACTTTGAGCAATTTGATTGCTTTGGGATATAACTATGTCGGTACCAAATAATCTTATATTATGGAAATAGGGCGGTGTAATGTTGGATGGGATAAAATCGAGGTATTTTGTCATCTTTAGATATAAGTTAATAAAATAATCTTATTTTATATATCGACTTGTTTATTCAACGTTTACCTTTTAAGTTAGTGGTGTGAGTTCAATTCGGGGGACGTTATTATAAACCGAATGAATCGATAGAAAAAAGAAAGTTATGGAGTTTACTCTAAATTGTTGAACTTTAAGTAATTTAATCATTTGAGTTATTGATTGCTTCAAGATATAACCTAACATGAATGTGTGTGTGTGTGTGTATATACTTAGTGGGGTGATCGTGTCACTTGGTTAATGTTAAAAATAAGTACATGTAAATTTGAGAAAAATTCATCTGTAAAAGTGGAAAATGCTCATAAGTTTGTTCGAGTTGGCTTACTTTTCATCTATTTTATATATATATATAGTTTTGATTCTTGATAAGAATATTTGGAATTCATTTAAATTTATTCCTATTTTTCTTCAACATTGACAAACACAGATGACTACATCCAACACACTACATGAACATACAGAAAATCTAGACAATCATTTGTCATGATTTATGAAATCAAGGTTTTAAACTTTTACCTCCTCTTTCCCTCTCTCGTCGCAACCACCACAACCCAACCCACCCAAAAAATAAATAAATAAAATTAAAAATAGAAAACAATCGACTGAAAATTAAATTAGCAACTATAATTTAAGATACAGCATTTTTCGTTTATCAAGAAACTACCATTTTGAAGGGGAAAAAAATCAACAAATGAACTATTAAATGCAAAACTAAAATTAATCAGCATAAAATGTGTGTGAAATCGAATTATATTTTGTGCAAACTTAACTTTCGACAACGAAACTTAAACATAAAGTTGTGAGACACATAACCATCGACAAATGTTGGTCATTGCTGGTATGATTATAATATATAAACTTCAAAACTTCCAAGAATAATAAAAAAGGCCACTTACATGACTCGTTTACAGAAGGCTTGGCCACCTTTCAGCTTGACCAGTCAACCAGAAAGCTCCTAATGAGAGCAGCATGCCACAAGCACTCTTCCAACCTCAATATTAAAGGGATTTCCACTAATTTCTTAAATGCAACAACCTATTAATCTAGATATACCTAACAGTAGCAAACAGAGGGATTATGCCTAGCATAAGCTGTAAGTAAACGCCTCAAAGCATTTCTTCCGTCCTCATCTAAAGCGGGATGGCCTGGAAATGTTCGAGGCAAATCCTGCATATATAGAAATAACCAGAATACGAAATTTGTTCACAAATAAGAATACCTAAATCCATTTCGACTGATACATTTATATATGTTCTTTTCATCTTTTTCTCTCTCTTTTTTCCTTACTAGGAGAATATCCTGACATCAGACAGTGCAATCCATAAAATTTGAAGACACTAACTTCAAACAGCAGCATAATAATTTTTTTTAAGTGCAACTCTGTAACTGGAAACGAATTGAATAATAAGCTATCAATTTAGATATTAGATGACAATTAAGACAGCACAAAGTCACCTGCAAGAAAATTTTTGTAATTAGCAATTCAAAGGTCTTAATCTGAGGTCAGAAGCTTATTGCAACTATTTGATGATGAATTAATGAAAACTCGGAGGTAGAAAATTCAATTAGGTAATTGTCAGCATCCCCTTGGATAATTATACCTCAGGCCAACGAATCTTCATTGTTGGCACATGCCTTCTCCTCATCTTCTTCTTCACTCTCTATGTAAAAACTCCGTTCTGATATTTCTTCATTTTCTTCTCAATTTCATTTTGAAAGTAAGTCGTACCTTACTATCAAATAAGAAACTATTCTCCAATTTTGACCCTTAAAAAATTATTCATTTTAAAAGTTTTTAGGTTTTAATGTTGTTGACAAACTTTTGACAAAACTATTGCTGTAAAAGAGTTTTTAAAAGTCAAAGTGTCAAGTGGTTAGTTAGAAATCTTTGGATTCGAGTATGAGACGAGGAAAAAGGAAAATCGTCGCAATTTCGCTAGCATATTGCCCAGTTGATGCTCAAGCTGTAAAAACAGAAGTTGCGTCGCCCGCCGTCGTCTGGACTTCGCTCGAACAGCGCATGTCGCTCGAGCAACAGTGTATCCCGAGAAAACCTAATTCATGTTTTTCAAGGTTTTTATCTGACTCATACTACCCAAAATCTCTTCACTATATATATGCACGCCTCCATTTGAAAAAGATGGTTGAACATTGAGAGAAACAAGAGATCATTCCTCTATATCATTCTTAGAGTTCAACCTTCATATTGATTTCATCAATGCATTGAAAAACATCAACTTCACATAAACCAAACACCAAAACACCTACTTCCATAACATCTGAGTTCTAAAAATCAAGAAAGGTAACTTGATTTTCTGGTTCTTGGAGAACGAGGAGTTCTCATTGATCCACAGGAGATAGACGAATTGAGAAGGCCGGGAATTGGTGCATGAACACACAATCCATGAAGACTTTTGTTATGGAACAAACAAGACACTAGAATTGCTCTGATATCAATTGTTATGAATTTGGATCGGGTGATAATGATGATAATTAAATAAATAAGAATAAAATAAATACAAAGATTTACGTGGAAACTCAATACTGGAAAAATCACAGGCAGAGGAGAAAAAATCAACTATAATCAATAGCAATTGTATTTACAAAATTTTAGTGCACTCAATTGAAATCTAAAGCTCTCAAGATATATGAATCTCTCTCTATTGTGTTCTGTTGTGTTAATTTCCATATAGTTTGTGCTATATATATATATATATATATATATATATATATATATATATGGGCCAAGACAGGTTTTTCTGGCCAGGTCTGTTTTCATTTTTGATGTGGTTTTAGACTCATATTCTTCTACAACTTGTTCTTTAGGGTTTATATATATATGGGTCGGAAAAGCCTATCAATGGACTAAATCAATTACAAACACCTACTAAATTTAAGCAATGTTCAAACTTAACAATAGGAAGTGGTTTTGTCATCATATCAGTACGATTATCCTTGGTATCAACCTTGCTCACTACAATATCACCACGAGCAATTACATCACACACAAAATGATACATCACATCAATGTACTTAGTCCTCTCGTGAAACACCTGATCATTAGTCAAGAAAATTGTACTCTAACTATCACAGAATATCGTAGACATCTACAAATCTTCACTGATTTCACCAATCAATCCTCTCAGCCATATAGCCTCCTTACTTGCTTCTATAATGGTCATGTATTCTGCTTCTATTGTAGAC